ATTTAAAAAGGGGTGTCTTTAACCGTCATATCAACATACAGCTGACTTCCTTCCATCGTGGAGCGTCGAGCATAATTGCCCGATGCCCGGAATCGATGAGGAATTTTCATGGCTTCTCGAAGCCCTTTACGGTCGCCTCCACGACCAGCGAGCCCGGCTTGCACATTTCCGTATTAAAGAGCACGGAGCCCTACGGTGCTGGGCCCTGTTGACCTATGCCTCACTGAGGCGCAACAGAACTCAGATTTTCACCAGTAGGTCACCCCGCACCTACTGAGTGGTGTCGTTTCATCGCGACGAACCAGACTGGTAGGCGTTGAGGCGATGATTCAAAGAACCTTGACGCGCCTTGCACAGGGGGCAACCGTTCCAAAGGTGACGGGCGTCTCCCCATATAAAACACCGTCGAATGTGTGTATGCTGCCCGGCAGCTCGGAGCTCTGCTCCCTCGTCCCCAGCATAGCTGAGATCCATTGCCATAGGCCCGCTCGACGAGTTGTTGGAGTGTGCATTCCAACCAAGTCGTGCCGACTTGAAATTGAATTCGGCATATAATGCCACATTCACCGTCTTTCCAAATGAGGACGGATGCACACGGAAAACTTCCATTCTGGCCACGCCAGTGCGGAGGCCTTCAATAAAGACGGTCACTGTGACCGCCTCCGGGGGGGATCTGCTGCTATCCCGGCAATGAAAGTGCGCATCTTTTGAACGAAGTCCACCAATTCCTTGTTGCCCTGTCGGGCGACAAGGAAACGCGATTGCACGCGATACGAACGAAGTGCTGACATCAGTGACCATGCTCGCGCTCGACCACCGAGCTGGGTGAATCACAACTGTGCTGGAGTAATACATTTCCTCTTTTTCATTCAGTTATTTTTTTTGCATCCATCACAAGTACAATTTCATCAAGAGTATTGTCTAAAGTGTCAAGACTGAAAACATCCGCATCGATACTGCTGTCACCGTCCATCTTATAGCGTTCTCGAAACAACGTGCTGTACACGTCATGTCGAGTGTGAAGGACCCTTGTAAAAGGGGTGTTTGTCACATTAGATGGGCATGGTGTGACCACACCCAATCAAGAATAGCAAGATAGCCAGTAGTTATTCATGTAATTAGATTTTACTATATTAATTAAGAATAATCTATACTTTTAAAATTAAGCGGTTTCGCCGCTAATAAAAAAAATCAGTTTTGGATTTTAAACCAAAGAGTCAATTAGCCTTGGGAAGGCAAAAATTACTCTTGGAATAAGCGGATTGCGATCTGCTAGCTCATACTGGGTTCTTGTAAAGATAGAAAGGTCGGTGATCTAAAGTACGTTTCCTCAAGCGCTAAGCTACGGCAGCCCCGCTGCACTTGGCAGCACTTGTAGTCAATCTACACCTGAGTCGTTTAAAGTGATTCTCTGTGAGGATAGAGAAATTTTCATCTTTGCCCCAGGGCATACAGGACGAGCTTAACAACCTGATGTCCTTGCTTGACCCAGAGGGCGTGCAACATTTATAGCGCAAGGTCCCGAGGCAATCGGTGCGCGTCTAGAGGCGAAAGCAAGTTACGAAAACGCGCAACTTGAGCACCTGCAGCAAACGATGTCTGCATCGTTTGCGTCTATGACGCCACCGTCAGTGACGGATAACTTCCCCTGACCTTATCCGCTCATGGTGAGCGTTAAGATTTTTGAGGGGAAGGAATGAAAGATTCTTCTGCTCTGAGTGAGAGATATCGAGATGGTCATCGCATTCGCCATGCTCCATACCGGGCAACAGCGCGTGGCGCTAGCCATCTCCAAGCTCGGTGGTCGAGCGCGAGAATGGGCA